GCAATGCTCACACTGAAATTTCCTCCGTTCCTTGTATATCCTCTCAGAGCATTTCGAATGCGACAGGCTTGGTTGGCTGTTTTCTTTATGAATACTGCGGTGTTTGATGAGGTCACTTCGATGCTGAAAAGTAATGCCACATTCTTTACAAACAAGGGAAGCCTGCTCATCTTGGTGCATGTGAAAGTGTCGATGCAGGTTGTATGTTTCCCGACGAGTGAACTTTTTACCACATTCATTGCATTCCAGTCGGCTTTTCCTTCGCTTGACAACTATGCCTTTCCCATCACTCTTAGATTTATCTTCTCCTTCCTTCTCTTCTGTGTTGTCCTTAACCTTCTCCACGGTTTTGGGATCTTCTCCTTCCTTCTCTTCTGTGTTGTCCTTAACCTTCTCCACACTTTTGGGATCATCTTCTCCTTCCTTCTCTTCTGTGTTGTCCTTAACCTTCTCCACACTTTTGGGATCATCTTCTCCTTCCTTCTTTTCTGTGTTGTCCTTAACCTTCTCCACACTTTTGGGATCATCTTCTCCTTCCTTCTCTTCTGTGTTGTCCTTAACGTTCTCTATGCTTTTAGGATCTTCTCTTTCTTTCTCTTCTGTGTTGCCCTTAACCTTCTCCATGCTTTTGGGATCTCCTGCTTCTCCTATCTTCTTTTCTGTGCTTTGCGTTGCATCATCATGAGACTTTGCTACTTCACTTATATTGGTCGAATTTTCATCTTGTTCTGGTGGGTGTTCTTCTCTGGTATGCTTTGACTCTTTGCTGACATTTTCTGTAGTTTTGTCCGCTGTTTCTTCTTTGTCGGTTGCTTGCCCTGTAGAGTGATAGCAAGAAAAACATTAGGCAAGTAATTTCTAATGTACCCAATAGGTAGCAGTCATTCAGATTTATAATTGTAATAAACGGTTTAGATTATGTCAGTTGTTTAAAAGGTGTACTGTAATTCATCTAAAGAATGTTGAAAAGCTTGACATGTTGGCAACAAAAAGGTATTAAATACTATTACCATTACTGCCCAGAAAAAGCTACAGTTAACAGACTCTCTTTTTGTGAGAGCATATTTAAAGGGGTCATATGATGTTGCTAAAAAGAACATTATTTTGTGTATTTGGTGTAATGAAGTGTTTATGCGGTTTAAGGTTAAAAACACATTATTTTCCACATACTGTACATTATTGTTTCTCCTCTATGCCCCGCCTTTCTGAAACGCGTTGATTTTTACAAAGCTCATTGGCGGGCTTGAGTGAGCGGAGGTCGGCGGGCTTGTGGCAACCACATGTGACGACCCCGGGCTGGACTCCACTTCGTCAACGGTGACAGCCGATCCGGCGATCCACCGCGTGAAGTTGATGTATTTCGTCCTCTTTGGGAAGGCCAAACTAAGTAGTTTCGCTTTCACAACGAAACACACAGCGCCTTCACGACATGGCAACAGCAACAATACTACAGCGAGAATAAAAGTTATGCTTTCTTTCTTTGCGTGAACATTTGGGCGGCGTTATGCAAATCTTCCCACATCATGACGTAGACATGTGGAGGCGTGTTAGAACGAGCCGTTTTAGGTAGACGTGGTTGATTTAACTTTTAATAAGAATATCTCTGTGGATTTGAGACTTTAGTCTTTGCAACTTTACAGATCTTCTTTATGCACCAAGAGCTTGTAACACTTCAAAGAGAAAGGAAAAATAGAACTCGCCTCATATGACCCGTTTAATAAACTATTAGAGGCTTTTCAGCCATTTTTAAACAGTGCAATGATTATTATAAAAAAAAATCATAAAACAGTAAAAATTGTAAAAGGTAAAAACACAAACATATCAAACTACTGTTTTGACCAACAAATATTGTAATTAATATACTGTATAAATTAGCGGTTTTCACTCTGCTATAGAGCATCTGTAGATAAAATAAGATGAAGCTGGAATTTTACTTTGATGGACAAATGCAAGAAAATCACTCTTTTTAAGTTTAAACACTTGAGAAAAAAATTCTTGAAACCTACAAAAGCACTAATAGAGAAAACAAACATTTGTGCAACTGAACATTTGACTCAAAAGCTTTTACTGAGATAGCTGTATGACATCTGGCACCAATGTCCCCTATTTCTGCTTTCGAAACAGTTATACAAATGTTCACGTCATCAGTACCCTATCCTATGTGTCTATCTCTGTCCATTTCATTCTCTACTTTTCCAATGCGTGGTACGACTCGGCACAGCATGGCACGGCACAGATCGGCTCGGCACGGTTTGCGTTTCCACTGCAGTTCAGTACCACTTTAGGGTGAGTGGGATTATTCACATGTGGTTATAGTTGCGCCGCCTCTACTACCACGACTCCTAAAAAAAAAAAAAAAATGTTCATTCCGCGTCGCCCCATCAAGCTCTCGCTGGATCCGCTCCTCTGCTATTAACGAGAGGAACGTCTGTTCTTCCACAACAGACAACAAAACTTTTTGGTTGTTAAAAATAGGTGCGCTCGTTCAAAACAGTTGCGTTCGATCCTTCGCTGGCTGTGCCGATTTAAATCTAGCGGTTCTTTTGTGTTTGTGACCTGCGTCACAAATTTAGTGACGCAGGTAACGATTCTCTCCGGCCAATCCATGATCAGCAGAGTTTACACATCACGTTTTGGTAACGGTACGGTTCACTTGGAACCCCAACCGAGGTGGTACAAAAAAAAAGTACCAGGTACTGTACCCAGTGGAAAACCCCCAAAAAAGTTAACCGTACCGAGCCGTACCACGCAGTGGAAAAGTGCCATTAATGGCTAAATCATGTGACCTGGTTGTACAATGTGTCATTTTTACCCTGAACTCTAAAGAGTGCTTGCCCATTTTTTCAGTGGCCCTGGTTCCAGACAAATTTTTCTCGTTCATTTCCGCATAGGTATTTTTAAAAAGTCATTGCTAGGAGTTATAAGCAATGAATCAAACCAACCAGCTATAAAGTACAAGGTACAAGACTGTGTACTTAATGGCTTTAATAAGATAAAGAACTACAACCTCATTAAGCATTACAAATGACACAATCATAAAACAAATGATGGAGCAATCTAAAACGTTTTGATTATAGATAGATAGATATATAGCTAGCTAGAACTTATTTTTTTAATTATGCATATTATGCAAACAAATATTTAAGTAGTTAGAAATTGTAGGGGGACCTGACTCCAAGTCCAGTGCTTCTTGGGAGTGCCTGAGCGCTTGTGTTTTTTTGGCTGATTTGTATGTTGTGATCCTCTTATTGGTGGAGATTTCTCTGTAGAATCATGGTAATGTCGTTTTTTTCACCAGGAATTCCACTATTAAACACTATTATTTTAAAACAAGTTTAAAAAAGCAGACTGATGGCTTAAAGTAAACAATTCATTATATGCCATATACCTATAATTAACAACCTTGTAGCTCAAAGTACGTCTCTTTAAAAGTTTCTAAGTCAATTCCACTATGGAGTAAATTAATGGGATTTTTACTTCAGGAACCAGACTGTTGCACTCTGTGCTTTGAAAAAAAAAAGTACATTCTGAATGGGTGACAGTGCCAAGTATGTAACAACTGCCTTGAATGTATCCATCCAAAATTTCTACTTTTTTTTTTATGTCAGACTGGCTCTGATTAACATGACTTATTTCTTATAGAGGAATGTTTTTGTTCCACATGGACAGTTCCAAACATTCATTCATTCATTTATTTACACACACACATATACACATATATATATATATATATATATTATATATATATATATATATATATATATATATAAAGTGATGCTCAGAAAATGTATTTAAACAAAACTTTAAGATGTTGTATGCAATTCGTACTAATTAAAACATCTAAAACGAGTCTAGATCTTCACGCATGAAAATGTTTAAACAAGCAGTTGTGTTTCTGACTGGGTTAAAACAGGCCAGAGAAAATAATTGCTGTCAGGAAGAAAAAAGCGCTCCAAGAGTTTCTGCATGCTCTTTCCACGTCTAAATATGTGTGAAATTGCACAAGTCTATGCGATGTTCACGAAAGTGGCGCGTGCCCTTTACCGTCTGCCCTTGATGCAAAGTTGTACTTACCGATGTTTTCATTGTGCAAACGATCCGATATCACATCGCAGTCCGTTCCGGGCTCAGCTGAAACGAGATCTTTGTTATCATTCAGAGGCAGCTCGTCCTCTGTAGATTTAGAATTACAGGACATTCCTGATGCATCTTTGTTGCGTGGTGAAAGAGCAACGCCATGTGGAGGTGGATTTTCCCTTGCTGGTGAAGACGGAACACCAGGGTCAGTCGTGCCCTTTACGTCGCTTTCTTGTGCACAAACCTCCGCGCCACACTCGGCTACTGTAGCTGAAACAGGTTGTAGTTCAGGTTTGTTTTCACCGAGTGTACCGTTAATGAGTTTTTCTAATGGTTGTTCGGATTCAGACTGCACGGTAGCCATTTTTCACATACTTTTCTCTTTTCTCTCCACCCCTAAAAACGTGGAAGCCAACGGTTGATTGGAAGCGTGTGCTACGTCACATGCGCCCCCTGCGACTACATTTAAAGCGACACCTTTCGATAAAAGTTGATGGATTTAGCGGCTTATTTGCGTTTTAGAATTACTTACTAAGTTTTATAGACTTAGCAGTTTTATTGATAACCATGGTCAGTCAGGTATTTAGCGTATGTATGTGCGACTTTTTGTGTAGATAATCTTTAAATAAAACATAAATCTAAAAACCAAAGTAATTAACATGCATCCGGGGAACCAAGGCTGCATTAAAAAAGGGAGAAAAAATTATAAAATTATTAAATATTACTACGATTTAAATCAACTGTTCTACTATATATTTTCATATTCCTGTGATGAAATATGTGTCAAATTATTTTTCAGAAATTTGTAATATTCTGCTTTGGTGGACAAAACAAAATTCCTATTATCAATGTTGAAAACAGTTGTGTGTGCATTTCCTGTGATGATAATAATAATAAAAAAAATAAATGTATTGATTGCTTTTATTAAAACTTGCTCATAGGCAGACATTTTTTCCAAGTACAAGTGATTTTTGTTAACATGGTGAAAAGTTTGCAAAATAGTATATTGCATTGCATGCAGAGTGACCGGGCGACCTTAGATCTCTACATTAGTCAGCAATTCTGATAACTGCATTTATTTCCATGGAACTGGAGAGATTCTATGCAATATAATGTCCCTTAAACAGCATTTGGATGTATTTTCTTAAACAGTGATAGTAGCAAAAGTAAAATGTCATTTTGCACTGATATCCAGTGCCTCAATTAAAAAATAAAAATGAATGTTTATCTTGCCACAGTATGAATACTGAAGAGTTTTTAAGCCTGCCTAGAGGATTTTTTTTCTAAACTTGCAATTATTATATATGAACTTAAGCAAGCAGATCCATAAAATGTCAGTAATTTACTAACAGCAACAAGAGTGCAGAAGTCAATTTAGATATAGCTTTGAGCTTTTTGGTGTACTTATTATACAATTTATTATATATCTGCGACAGGCATAACAAAGGGTGGCTGCAATATGACATGGCACAATCTGCGACTGGTTAACCTTATAAAACATTGCTTAAATAAATAAATTTACTGTAACTGAATACAGTTAAATTGTCCACATCTCACGGCAATATCAACGTCTGCGTTTTCGTCTGAGGTCTACTGTTCTTCCACGGCGTGGCTGTTGAGTTACTCCATTCATGTCATTCGGTGGTTCAGTGTGCCGAGTACCATCTAAAATATCTGGAGGTGGTGGTAGAGGTGGAACAGTTGCTGGAATTTGCTGCTCTAGCTGTGGCTGCTCCTGTGGCAATAACAGTTGTTCATAAGGCTGCTGTTGTGGAGGTTCCTGTTGCTGTTGATGCTGTGCAGGTTGCTGTAATTGTTGTTGCTGTTGCTGTAGTTGCTGTTGTGGAATTTGTTGCTGAGGCGGCTGATGCTGCATCTCAAGTAGACCCAACAGACGTTGCAAAAGTACATTATTCTGCTGCAAGCTATTTGTAAGAGCCTCTTGCGAAGCCACAAGCGTCCGAATATCACGTCTAAAGCCTTCTCCAAACTCACACAGGTTCTGCTCCATGCGATCTCCAAGCTGCATGGCTGCTTCTCCCAGTCCACGAAGTTCATCTTCTAGCCAGGAAGTGCGTGGTGGAGGGGGCTCCAGCAGACCCTGGTGGGTTCCTAAAGATGGTTCTGGGCTTGGCTGAGGAGTCCCGTTGAGGAACGGGGCACTGTATAGTGGTGAAGGAGGTAGCCAGCGTTCTGATGTTGGAGGTGGTACTATTCCCAGACCCAAGCCCAAACCCAGTTTATCCTCCATGCTGTTCTCCACACCCTCACAATCATCTCCATCTTCACCCTCTTGCTCACCAGCTTCATCCTCTTTTTCGAAACCATCTCTTTCAGAGCTATCTCCAACTACAACTGAAACAGTAATAACATATACATAAACTTTAAATAAATATTCTCAGACTTTATTGTAGAATCAGATTTGTAGGATTAATCCCCCCCCCCCCCCCCCCAAAAACCACCCGCCACCTACATCCTGAATCATTTATAAATACAAGACAATTACAACAAAATATCATATATTTTTATACCAAAAATATCAAGATTATTAAAATAAGAAGAAAAACACTTGACTGATCTTGACAATTACAATGTATTAGACAGACTATAACAATCATCATACTACCTACCTAGACATTTAATTTTTAAGTTTGGTCTTTTAAATTGAAACAATGTGTTCAGAGTAAAAGCTGTAAAACAGTGTCACATCATTGACCCATAAACATCCTATTTGCAGTCATCCATGATTCTGAAAGTAGAAGTTGTCTAATATTAGGATGTTACTGAGAAAAAATGTATGCTACTACCAAGTCTTCATCTTAAGTGAGTGTACATGATTTTTAATGTTTTACTTGTACGTAATTTCTAAAACTGTAAAACCTTAGTAATAAGGGAAAAATAACTATTATTACTGTACTATCAGCAGTAAAGTAAAATCACATATTATTAAAGACTTCCTACCATCTAACACTTACTTTGTTCGATTGGGATGAGTTCATCCGAAGACATTCCAGGTGCGACTATGTTAGGATGCACAACTACAACGTTAAAAGGCAGGCTGCTTGGCAACCCACCATTCTCGTGGTCACAACTCCCCTCTGAGTCTTCATCTTCCCTGGGGAAACCGTCCTCTGAAACCCCGCATCCAAAGGGCCCCTCTGGAGACTCCACTTTGATGTGCATGGGAGGCGAGTGCTCATACAGCAACCCCCCCTCCTCGTAGTATTCAGTCATGGATATGTTGTGGTTTACAGACACACCAATGTGACTGGTGGACAGCATGCCATTCACAAGGAGGGTGAAGAGCCACCATGCTGTTCCATGGCAAGGCGTTCATTGCTTCATTGTGATGTCTAACAAGAATAGCCTTAATAATGGGCTCAGTAATACACAGTCACAGAAAATAGATATTTGCTACGGGACAGTAATTGGTTAACGTGTCATTTTAGAAAGGGGCTGTGTTCATTTACACTGATTCTACGCAATTATTGCAGTGTTTTTGTTGACTGTATCTTACTAACGTTAGACCAAGAAAACCAAAACCTGTGGCTTCAGTCCAAAAACAAAACTCGGAGATGTTCTTCTGATATTTTGTTATGTTTGATATTATGTATTTGTATCATTCATTACATGCAGACATCTTAGAGCTCTCCTAATTGACATTAAATCTGGCAATGACAAGTAAAACCCCGAGGCTACTGAGGAGAGGGCGAGAAATAAAACAAATAATGCATGGATAATATAGTTGAATTTACATTTAACTAATTGTTTAATTAAGGGAATATTTTAAATATAAAGGCCAAAATTACCTGTGTCGCAGCAATGCGCATATATTCTGCACCACATCCGCAATGGATGCGCATTCCGCATAAATTACGTTAGCCGCCACTAGCTCTTCTCAAGCAAATACTGCTGTTCGTGTAAAGTCATGTATGCGACGAGCCCGCATTACGAGAAAGATCTAGTTTTGGAAAGAATAATCCGCACTCTCACCGTCGTACTGTGATAAATGGATAGAAAGTTTTAAACACAATACTAAAATGATATAAGTGCATAGATGCAAAGCTAACCTCGTAAAATCCTAAATGTACACAGAATCCAAATCGTCGCAGGAATATGACATCACACAAAGCTATTTGCCGTGTGTCTATTTCTGAAACCCTGAAAGTGATATTTTATCAATTTAAACGACGATAGTATATTTAAACAAGTCGGTCTTTTGTCATCTTGCAAAAAAATAAAATAAAAATAAATAAATAAAGTAATTAATTGCAAATAAAAACCGAAATAAAAGGAGTTGGTCTGTACAATTCAAAAAGTGCTGTGAAATGCATTAAGCCTACAAGTTTGCCTTAACTTTTCAAAACATAAAACACTTAATAATAGTTTTATATTAAACACTGTGTTTTTAAATGCAGGTGAAACAAAAAGTCAGCTTGGTGCTAACCTAGATTTAGCTTAGTAGCTATTCCAGATGTTACCACAAAAAGTCAGCTTTGTGCTAACCTAGATTTAGCTTAGTAGCTATTCCAGATGTTACCACAAAAAGTCAGCTTTGTGCTAACCTAGATTTAGCTTAGTAGCTATTCCAGATGTTACCACATACGTCTTCTAGAGCAGTGATTCACAACCCTGGTCCTGGAGGTACCCCAACACTGCACGTTTTGCATGTCTCCTTAATCAAACACACCTGATTCAGGTCATCAGCTCATAAGTAGAGACTCCAAGATCTGAAACTGGTGTGTCAGAGAAAGGATACATACAAAATGTGCAGTGTTGGGGTGCCTCTAGGACCAGGGTTGTGAACCACTGTTCTAGAGAATTTGGTGCTTGCACATTTATGTGATTATTTCTATTTATTCTCCACAATTGTCAATGCATAAAAGTAAGTAGTAGTAATAAGAATAAATAATAAGTGGAAATAAAAGTAACAGTCTATGCTGTCTAAATGAGAAAAAGTAGGACAAATATATGATGCACTTGATTAAAATAATATAGCTGCTCCAAGAACACATTATTGAACAAAAAACATGCAATGGCTTGGACTACTTTTATTAATTGCTCACATCGGAGTGTGAAGGATCCCTTTGCTTAAAATCATCCTCCCTTATATACCTATTTATGCAACTGGACTTTTGATTCAAAACTGAGATATATCCCTTGTGACAATGTCCAGATGCATGTGGCAACTAGCCTGTTTTCCTTAACAAAGTGATACTGATGTATATAACGCGGAACTAAATCTAGAATTATTTTTTCTCAAAGATAATAAAGGCAGACAATAAAGTATTTATCATAGAAAAAAACAAAGATTCAGCTTTTTTTAAAATCCTTGTATAGCCTTTGTTTGCCACCTGTATGCTCCCACAAGAGCTAATGATTTATTTGTGATTTCTTGGAATTACCAATGGAGCAAAAAACCGCACAGATTTCACCACACGGTGCCAACCACAAGTAACTTTTTTGTAAAGTTTTGTTTCTGTCCACCTCCTTTTTAGGTAAAATGTTTCATTATTCACTTGGTGGACATCATTTTTTAAATTATGAATTTTAAAAATGACATGTCTTTCTAACATAATGCGATCCCTAGTATAAATAATTAACAATATCTTAATAAAAGTGTCCTTACCAGTCTGTATGTCCTAGAACACAAGGTGGTAGATATTCTAGAGGTACATGGTACTTCACTTTCCTTAACCATGTTGAATTTATGTATATACATCACACATAAATGTACATTTATTTATTTCAATTGATATTAATCTATTTACATTATGATATTAATGATATATGATATTAATATTTACATAAATATATGTACATGTCATGAATATTCAAAAGTAAATTAATAGAAATATAAAGAGGACGGACAGTCATATATAATTATGAAAATGTGTGAAAGGTAATTCGGATTGTAATTGTAACAATAGCCTGAATGTTTATCTCAGGACCGTCTCCTCCTGAGGAGTCAGCTACAGAATCGTGTCTCCAGCAGTGCAGAGCTTGCTCAGGAATGGCAGCAGGTTGGTGCGAGAGCATCTGCACGCACAGTGAGGCCAAGACTTTTGGACAACGGCCTGGTGTCAAGAAGGGCAGCAAAGAAGCCAGTTCTCTCCAAGAAAAACATCAAGAACAGAATGAAATTCTGCAGGAAGTACAAGGATTGGACAGCAGAAGACTGGAGCAGTTATTTTTTTCTGATGAAGCTCCCTTCCGACTGTTTGGGACATCTGAAAAATCGATTGTTTGGTGAAGAAAAGGTGAACGCTACCATGAGTCCTGTGTTGTGCCAACATTGAAGCATTCTGAGACCATCCATGTGTGGGGTTGCTTTTCAACCAAGGGAGTGGGCTCTCATAATTCTGCCCAAAAACACTGCCATTAATAAAGAATGGTGTCAAAACGTCCTGCAAGAGCGACTTCTTCCAATGAACCATGAGCAGTTTGGTGATGATCCATGCATTTTCCAGCATGATGGAGCACCATGTCATAAAGCAAGAGTGATAAAGAACTGGCTCGAAGATCATTACATTGAAATTTTGGATCCGTGTCCAGGCAACTCCCCGGATCTCAATCCCATAGAGAACCTGTGGTCAGTCCTCGAAAGGCGAGTGGACAAGCAGAAGCTCACAAATTGTGATCAACTCTGAGAAATAATAAGGCAAGAATGGATCGCCATCAGTCAGGATTTGGTCCAGAAGCTGATATCCAGCATGCCAGAGCGAACTGCAGAGGTTATGAAGAACAAGGGTCAACACTGTAAATATTAACTCATTATATTTTTTTGCCAATAAAAGCCTTTACAACTTATGATATGCTTATCATTGTTTTTCAGTATACCATAGAAACATATGGAAAAATAATCTACAAATACTGATCAGAAAACTTTGCAAAACACAAAACTTATGTCACTGCCAAAACTTTTGGCCATGACTGTACAAATGGAGAATCTGCTGCTCGCAACTGTGCAGCAGTGTTATTCACTGTGCCTGTGTGAAATGTCTGATTAAACATTTCTAAATTGTTTAATAGAAGATAGTGTCTCCAGAGACACCTTGAATGGTTTAGCTGCCACATGTTGATTCAGTTGAATATTTTCCCATGTCATGTTTATTTAAAGTCACAGGTTTGTAAGAATTTTGTAACATTTCAGAAAACAAGGTTATCGTCAGCCAAGATTTGACAGCTTATTTACTAATGGAAAATAATACAGTCACAAAGAGTTATTCATCAGTGCCCACTTTCAATGAACTGGGCTAATGTTACAACTTAAAATGGTTTCTACAGTCTGAAATAAATTGGCATTTTTGACAAATACAAAATACAATATGTTTTCTCACTCAGTCATCCCTAATGTGCTCATTTTCCAATTCCTGGATTTGATCACTTTGTTTAAAAATAATAAAAGAGCTCTTTAAAGTGAAATTTCACAGACTGTGCAGACAATCACATTATACAATGTAATTAATTTAACTAACTTTTTATCATAACATTCATAACAACTAATTTAACATAAGCACCGATTTTAACACAAATATAGGCTATACGCAACATTAGTCAAGACTTAAATCTGATTACAATTAAGTGGCATATCTTCAAAATTCAAGAGCTTGTCATGATAAAAATAAATAAATAAATAACATTAAAACATTTGTTTTTGTTTATAACTCCTTAGTACCTAAACATTTTTCTTTAAGGAGCACATATCAATATTTACTTCTCATGACAGATATGTAACCAAAATATCCCCTTTTTAAAAGAATTGCTGCAAAGAACATCTTAGAAAAATAATAAGAAACATCCATTAATTAATGATTTGTGAATATAGTTTCTTGAATAAAATGATTTGCAATCACATCCTAAGAGAATCTGTATATTATGATAAAGCACATGCTGGAGTCACACACTGCTTCCTTATATAATGAATGCATGTATGCCCTTGAAAATTATCTTAAGCTGTGGAGTAGACAGAGTATAAAAAGCTGGTCTTAAAACCTTCAGAACACATTACTCAGCAGCTTCAACATGAAGGCTCTCATTCTTCTGGCTCTGTTCGCTGTGGCTTGTAAGTAATGGGGCAGGGGAGATTTAGAGAATTATTAATACATATCTCTTAAGTAAAAAAAATAAAATAATTCCAAGTGTTCTGTTCAATTATTTTTTGTAAAATAAAAATGTGACACTAAAACGATATATTTTCCCAGATGCTGCTCCTCTGGAGGAGGATGACAAGA